TTTCAGGGTATTGTAATTTATTTTATTTATTAAACTGTAGAATGTTTTTCAGTTTAAAATGTTGGCCTATGTGATCAATTGGTTTAAAATAAATGGGTCAGTTTTTCTCATACCTACTCTTTTTCACTGTTTGACCTGATCAAGACTTTTCTAAGATTTTACACTACAAAATAGGTAAAAGTGTGTGACTTGCACTGTTACAGTAACGGGTCAATATCGGTATCGGTCAATATCGGTATCGGACATTTCTCAAAGTTGTAATWTCGGTATCGTATCGGAAGTGAAAAAGTGGTATCGGGACATCCCTACATCCAACAACACTGTCACCTGCAAGTCCGTTTTAATTTAAAACCTTTTAAACTTGTGACAGTTTTCCTTCAAGATTTAACAGTTTAATATAAAAGTTTGTCCTTATGGTGAAGAGAAAAAAGTGATATTGTACTTTGCAACACAGTTGAACCATTTTCAATATTTAAGAGCAGATCGAATCGAATTGAACCGAATGATTAATCCTTATGTCGACCCAATTCCAAATTGTATTAAATTAATCTATTTCCTCAAAATTTAACACTAATAATAAAATGTGGAAAAAGGTAAGTGTTGTGAATACTTTCTGGATGCAATAAAGACTCTTCCCTTGATTAAATATGTTGGAAACATTTCTGTTGTCAACCACTAAACAACCACTTTCTTGCTATTAATTTAACAAATAAACAGTGAAATGTTTAAAATTAGATTTGATGAAATCTGATTATAAACACTTTCATCTTAAACTGTATATGTTTTCACTTAACTCTTGAGACATCTTTAAATTGAATTTGCACTTTTTAATGTTTTCACAGAGTGTTGAGGGAAGGTGAGATACTGTCATCTTTTGTCTGCTTTACCTTGGGAGAAACCAAGACGAGCTCTTCCAAACAGTAACTGTCAGGTATGTTACATGACTAATCATCCACACTACACAATAATCAGTTTGTTTTGAACAAGAAAACTCAATCATATCAAAACTTATTGTTGTAGATATACTATATTTAAAGTTTCCCCTGCTTTTTGTGTTTCCCACCCAAAAAGGACCAACCTCAAGGAGGTGCAGAATCCTACGGCAGAAAAATCAATCTAAGAGACTAATCAGTGCTTTAAATCACATCCATACATGGATGGGACACATATCAGAGGCACGGGGATTCAGCTTCCTGTCCAAGGACACTTTGACATGTGAGTGTGACAGAACAGTGGTGGAATCGAACCGGCAACTCTTCCATTCGAGGAATGATTCTCCTCAGCCACAGCCGCCCAAATGTATGTAAGTTATGTTGTTTTATCATTCCACAAGCAGGACATTCGGATGTAACAGGTTTTTTTTAGCTTTATAGTTACAAAATACAGTACATATTTGTTTTGTTCTTTGTTTGTTTGTTTGTTTGTTTGTTTGGTTGTTTGTTTGTTTGGTTGGTTTTTCCACTGATTATCAGATGTTCACTGAAATACCATGTTCCAAAATTGTCACTTTGGTACAGATAAAGATAGGAGACACGTTAAACTGTAAGTTTGCAAAACAAAATAATGTCAAACTACCGATTAAGTTTTGGGGAAAAGAAACTTTCACACTGTAGCCCTTTGTAAGTGAGATGTTTTACAGGAATTGGAAATTATATTTGTAATAAAAGAAGACTTTTTTCAAAAAAAAATCTGAATATTGCATCAGCATCCTGTAACTGCTAATTTAATTTTTTGATTTGCAATGATTGTGCAGAACTGTTGTTAAGCAAAAACTGTTCAAGAGTCTAAATATGTATCTTTATAACCATTTGTCTAACTAAAATTCAACACAATTGGTGCTTGAACTTGAGTGCGTATGATCATTTTGTTCCATCAGTTTATTTATTGAGCATGTTTTTTTTTCTTTAAATAAAAGTTGTTATGATCATTTACAGTCTGAAAATGTATTTGTGTCCTTTTTTACCTAGGGTGACAAATGTATTTAATTGTTATATAAAATTATTAAGTACATCGACAGTAACAAATAAGCAATATTACTCAAATATTGAAGGTAATAAGTATTGAAATCTTCCCAGAGTCATACCCAAACAATCATTAAAAACCCACTCATGGAAGCATTTAGTAATTAAAAAAAATAAATAATAACGGGTAAATGTTGAAAAGGAGACAACACTAATTTTTCTACATCACAGCAGATAAACAAAGTCACTTATTGGTCCTCTTCTTGTATTAATTAACACCATAAAATCACTAACAGAACGCTCAAACATTACAACACGTGTTTATTTCATAAGTTATAGCTGTTTACTATCGCAAGCTAGCATCTACTAGCTATCACGGTTAGCTTAGTTTGAAATTCTTATCTTACCATTTTCTAATAAGCTTCTGACGACTCTTCTACAGATAGATTCCACTTTCTGTGACGTACTTGCTAAAACCGTAACCTAATAAATCCCAGATTTAATGTTACGCCACGTTAAATCTACCTCGGCTAATCAACACCATGTTGACGCTACTAGAACAACGTGGGAGGAGCGGCCTGCTGTGATTGGCGGTTCCTGCCAGAAAACCTGACGAGAGCTCAGATCTCATTGGTAGCTAAATGTGTCTGTCAGGTCTCTGTTGCACCGAGTATGGCAAGCCACCTTAGCATAAAATCGGTTTCGTCTGACTATCTGTAATTACATTCTAGATGGCTATAAATGAGTTTTGACTGGGAACAACTACACTTTGACTATCCTGAATGGTAATTTAAGACAGTGATTCCCAACCAGGGGTACACATATTAGAGAGGGTACGTAGAAATATTTCCCAGGTGTATAAAAAATAAAAACAGGACTGGGATATGTAGGTCCCTATGATTTCTGCAATCATGGATTTGACACTAATATAATCCAGTAAAAAATGCAAAATCTCATGGAATTTGCTAATTTGGGTGAGTTTCTGGTGTATTTTGGGGGTACACAAGTCTAAAAAGTTTGGGAACCACTGTCCTAAACCCTTCATCCAATTTTAATGTGGATAACCTCAAATGAAAGCTGAATGTCTGGATTTATGTCCATGTACGTTATATAAATATAACTTGAATATGTTTCAGTAAACAGGTAAAAAGACAAAATTTGTGTCAGTGTCCAAATATATGTATATGGACCTAACTGTATGTATAATATATTCATCCACGGATACACAAATATATACAGCAATGTACACTCACCGGCCACTTTATTAGGTACACCACGCTAGTAACGGGTTGGACCCCCTTTTGCCTTCAGAACTGCCTCAATTCTTCGTGGCATAGATTCAACAAGGTTCTGGAAACATTCCTCAGAGAGTCTGGTCCATATTGACATGATAACATCACACAGTTGCTGTAGATTTGTCAGCTGCACATTCATGATGCGAATCTCCTGTTTCACCACATCCCAAAGGTACTCTATTGCAGAGGTTCTCAAACTGGGGTCCCAGGACCCCTAGGGGTCTGCAAGCCCTATTTTAGGGGTCCTCAAAAAATGTCAATGAATTGTTTATTTGGTTTTCATTTTTAAAAATGCATATGGGGGAAAATGCACTGGTAAAACATACATACTAAACCAAACAAAAAAATAATATTCCCATTTAGGCAGTGTTGTATAAAGTACCTGAAAGTGATACTTGAACAAAAGTACAAGTATCTTATCATAAAATTACTTTAGCAAAAGTTAAAGTCTCCTCCAATAATATTACTTGAGTAAAAGTCTTATCTGATTTATTTTGTACTTTAAAGTAAATTTCTGACTTAAATGTATTTAAGTATTAAAAGTAAATTTCTGACATAAAATGTACTTAAGTATTAAAAGTAAAAGTATTGAGTAAAAATGAATGGTTAGATTTTCCAAAATACATTTATTGGGAGGTGACCTCTTGAAAATATTTATTCTAATGGCGTGCAGCTTTGATGAATTATCTACAAACTTGCTACAGTATCAGAATKGTATCTATTTATACTTAAAATCCAACCACAATTAAATTCATTCTATCCAGGAGCCACAATTTTTCAGGATAATATTTTTTTTAACAATAACGAGTCAAAATGAAATAGGAGAAACAAGTTTCCACTTCTTACCTTTTTAAAATATGTAAGTAGAAAGTACAGATAATTGTGTAAAAATGTAGGAGTAGAAGTAAAAATTATGCTGAAAAATAATTACTTAATTAAAGTACAGATACCCAAAATTTCTACTTGAGTACAGTAACAAAGTATTTGTATTTTGTTACATTACAATTATTTTTAAAACAGCATGGTGTTTATGAGGGGGTCCCTGGAAAATTTTCACCCTTGTAAGGGGTCCTCAGACCCAAAAAGTTTGATAACCTCTGCTCTATTGGACTGAGAACTGGTGACTGTGGAGGCCATTCGAGTACAGTGAACTCATTGTTGTGTTCAAGAAACCAGTCTGAGATGATTCATGCTTTATGACATGCAGGGTTGTATAAAGTACCTCAAAGTGATACTTCAGTAAAAGTACAAGTATCTTATCATAAAAATACTTTGGTAAAAGTTAAAGTCTTCTCTAAAAATATTACTTGAGTAAAAGTACAAGTATCTTATCATAAAAATACTTTGGTAAAAGTTAAAGTCTTCTCTAAAAATATCGCTTGAGTAAAAGTCTTAAAGTATCTGATATTTTTGTACTTGAGTTTCAAATTACGTTTCTGACACAAAATCTACTTAAGCATTAAAAGTAAAAGTACTGAGTAAAAGTGAGCAGTTAGATTTTCCACAATGACATTTACTGGGAGGTGACTTCTCAAAAAATATTTTTTCTAACAGCGTGCAGCTGTGTAGAAGCTAATAAGGTGTCAGAATGGTATATATTTATACTTCTTCTCCAACCACAATTAAATTCACTCTATCAGGAGACACAATTTATCAGGATAGTATTTTTTAAAGTAATAACAACTTAGAATAAAATAGGAGTAACGACTTTCTACTTCTTACCTTTTAAAAAAAATGTAGTGAGTAGAAAGTACAGATAATTGTGTAAAATGTAATGAGTAAAAATARAAAGTACGCTGAAAAATAATTACTCAAGTAAAGTACAGATACCCAAAAATTCTACTTAAGTACAGTAAYGAAGTATTTGTACTTAGTTACTTTACAACTCTGATGACATGGAGCTGGAAGCAGCCATCAGAAGATGGTACACTGTGGTCATAAAGGGATGGACATGGTCAGCAACAATACTCATGTTGGCAGTTGGTGTTATGGTTACAACTGAGGAATGAACCCAAATCCAGACGGAAATAAAGTTTTAGCAAAAATGAGAATATTTATTACAAAAACTAAAACAAAAAGATGACGCAGCAGCAAACTTACAACGAACTCAAAAGACAACAGGGAGACGTCGAGGAGAACCATGAAACATCAAACAATGAACCAGTGAGTGTGTGGAGTGCTGAACCAGAATATATACAGACTGTGTGTGTGTGTGTGTGTGTGTGTGTGTGTGCGCGCGCGCGTGTGCGTGTGCGTGTGTGTGTGTGACAGGATGAAATGACAAGTAACAGCTGAGGGAAAAGAGGCGTAATGACGACTGGAGAACACAAGGGGGAGGTAAGACAAAAGACAAAAAACACACAACCTCACAGTACCTCCCCTCTACGTTTCATCACCCAACGATACGATACGAACACGGGAGGGAGGCGGGGGAACAACAAAAACAGCACAGGACAGACGGCACGAGACAAAAGACAATGAAGGAAACAAAACAAAAAAAAACACAGAAAACAAAAAACCAACAGGGAACCCCTGGGAAAAAAACAACAACAAAAAAAGTCACTAGGTGGCCTCAGGCACATCTAAAGAGGGCAGAAAATTCAGATGGGCGGCCAGGGATCCAACACAGGCGAGGTACGGGCTCAGGTGGGCGACTGTGGACTCGGCCGCAATGGAGGCAGAGGTCTGGAGGGCAGCTTTGAGCCCGGCCACGACGAGGATGGAGCTCTGGAGACACTGCAGGAGCCAGCTGAGGAGACTCTGGAGGTGCCGGCTGAAGATGGATGGAGAACTCTGCCACAGTCGACGAGGAGACCTTAACCGCAGACAGTGGGTTCTCAGCTGCAGACGATAAGGTCTCAGCTGCAGACGGCGAGATCTCAGCTGTAGCAGGGACCAGAGTGGACTCGGGAGCAGAGACTGGCATGGAGACCTTGAGAGCCTCAGGCAGACCCGGGGAATTCACAATATGACCCGGGGGCCTTGTAGGCTAAGGTGCAGGTTCTGGCTCTTGCTCCGGTGTAGACTCTGGCTCTATGAATTCTGATGCTGACTCCAGCTCCAAGGACTCAGGTGCTGCAGCAGATATGGACAGCATCTCCACATGAGCAGCCATGATGAATACTGCCACAGCAGCCAGGGTGGCGACCACCACCTCCCTCCCCTCAAGACCCTCCTCACAGGAGGGGGACGCATCGACCGTCAGGAGAGCACAGGGAGCTGTAGAGGCGTCGACCGTCTGTGGCGCGCAGATAGAGGTGGAAACATCGATCCTCTCAGAGGCGCTGACAGCGCAGGAAGTAGAGGCATCGATCCTCTCAGAGGTGCAAGAGGCTGGAGGTCTCAGGCGCCATCTTGGTAGTGGCACTGGAGGAAACGTCCGGGACCCTTTCGGAGGCAGCACTGGAGGAGGCGGCGTACGGGACTGTCTCGGAGGAGATGCTGGCGGGAGAAACGGAGGCGGCAATGAAGAAGGGAAAATCATCGGCCCAGCAGAGCAGTACCCGATGTACTGATTGGTTGGTTTTAATAAAGAAAAAATATAGATAAAATGTCTGAGTGGTTGTGTGTTTTACAAAATAATTATACATAAATCAGAAAATTCTATTACTGTTAACCTCACAAAAAATGTTTAAAGGGATCCACGATTAGTTGTAACATTAAACTTTATTTATTTGCGCTAGCACCCACTCTATATTGCCTTATATGTATTAGCGACAAACAAGCTAAACTGAGGTCCTCTATCCATATTTTCAATTACAGGCTGAGTTATTTTTGCGTTCCCCTCTCTGTCATGTGGATGGAGGACCTCAGTGATGAGAGGAGAATATGTAGCACTGAGCTAATACATATATATGGTGATAGCATTGGGGCTAATGCTAAAGCTAACAGGCTAAGCTGAGGTTCTTCTTCCATGAAGCAGCTCTGTTGTCCTCCATCCATATTTTCAGTTCTAGGCTGAGTCAGTTCTACCTTCTCCTCTCTGTCAATGCTCTCTGGTYTCATTTAAAAGAGTCGATCATCAGATATTGTCCAAGATTAACCTTCAGGGTGGATATAGCTCGCTAGCAGCCTCGCACCAATGACCTAGTTGATGTCATCATTTACCCAGAATGCTTTGCATGTAAATAAAATGGCCCCATACATGTAATATTTTTAAACTTTTAGTTTAAAAATTATAAAAACTGAACATCCTACATTATTTTTACAGTCTCTATTTTACAGTTAAAGTATGTGTTTATCATATAAAGTCAA